AGAGCCAAAGATGTTAGAATTGTGTCGATGTCCCAATATTTCTGGACCTGACTGTACTTTGAAGTGGCAATAAGCAATTGATTGGCAATGAAGGAAAAGTGCCCATTGATCAGGAACCAATTAAAGTGATAGACATGAATTAAATAGGTTGGGGAATTTGTCAACAGCTTCAGGAAGTTTCAAAAATATCTTGTGCAAAATATGTAGTAGTATGTCAGAATGGTATAGTATGGAGCAAATGGTGAACATTTTTAGGCCTCATTAATCTGAATTGATGGTTTCTGAAGCTGTCCTAGAGGGCCTTAATATAAGGCCTACTATAGATGAAACATAGCGGGATAAAGAATATCTGTAAAATGTAGTGTTTCTTTTCAAAGAAATCAAAATATGCTTTTGTGGCAATATTGTAGCTTTAAGTACAGTAGATTCATGGTGTACTATCCATAACCTGCATTGTGTGAAGAATCTGGAAAAGGCTCAAAATAGACTCAGGATTTATATATCTAGTGCTGGCTGCTGTTCTTTGTGGTCCTTCATAGCTTATTGTTTCCAGTGGAGTCTTTCCTTGCCTTCCAAATGGATTCTCTTTCCTGAGACCTTCAGGATTTTCTGGGTTCTGATTCTCTGCTTCATCCCAGTTTGAATCCTACATCAGTTTAACTACTCCATGCATCTGATGAATTGAACTGTAGTTTATGAAAGTTTATGCCTTTTAATAGAATTTGTTAGTCTGAAAAGGTACTACTAGACTCCTGGCCCTATCATGAAGCATCTGCTTTGAAAAGCAGTTTTCAGAACCATTTTCCTTCCTTTATTCTGAATGTGGACATTAAATAAAATATTCTCCAGACTTTCAAACTTTCCTTAGAACTTTTCAATTTAGGAATAGAAAGGTCTTAAGACCAGCAACTGATAGACTAAGAATTATGCTTAATCAGCACCAAACACAAATATATGTGATTGGCCACCAAATCCCTTTGAAAAGTTTTCCTCCTATTTTTCGTGTTTTTCCTATGCTTTTTAATACTCTTGAGGTGATCATATATTTAATTATATGTGTATTTATTTTACTTCCAGAAACAAGAGGAAAAAGGGGAAGAGAGAGAGATACTAGGGATGAACGTGACTATGACCAAGAGCAGAGTACCCCCAGAGATCACCGAGATGATCGAGAATCCCGGGATGGACGAGATCGAAGGGAAACCAGAGATAACAGAGAACGCAGGGATCCAAGAGAATCTCGGGACACTCGGGACTCACGGGATACAAGGGATTGTAGTAGAGACAATAAAGAAAGTCGGGATCAGAGGGACTTACGTTCTACACGAGATACACATGACTACAGAGACAGAGAGTGTCGAGAACATAAGAAAGAAGAGCAGTATTTGGAGGAAGCACGTAGTTATGGAAGAGCCCATGGCAGAGAAGATAGTTCTCGTGCTGAAACTCGGACAGACTCAAGAAGTGAAACTAGAAATGAATCTAGAACGTCTGGAAGAAATAGGGGGAGAGGTCCTGAATTAACAGACAAGGGTATAATACATGAAATAATAGGAATGTTACACTATTCATTACATAAACATCTGTTTAATCAATACCGTAGAAATTACACTACAACTAATTTCTTTTTATGACTTCACCTAATTTAGTCAGCATTATCCATAATGCAACTGGATCCTGTATGCATTTCTTGAAAACTGTTAAATAATGTGGAACAGATGGTAATAAGAAATAATTATCACATGGGTTTCTGCTTTTTAATAAGAAAGAAAATTACTCTATTTATCCTAAAAGAAGGCTAACTGTTTAATTAATTTTAGTCAAACATTGACTACTGTTGAGGAGGTCCTCATCTTTAATTCACTGATACAAAAGCTACTTGCTCTTGAAATGACTAGGTAGGAAGTATGTATGAATGCAGACTACTTTGCTAGAGCATAGATGCTCTTGAAAATTAGTCTGAAAATTAGCTTTTGCTTGAGAAGGATTGTTTGCCAGGTGATTTTAAACCTTTCTGTTATGGTTAAACAAGACTTCTCTTTTCATAGCATTGGATTTTGTTTGGGTCTATGATATTTTTCTTCAGCATTAATTTGCTGAATCTGTGAATGCCTTTTGATTCACCACAGTGTTCAATCTTGGCTCAGCTGATGACTTGCAAGCTCACAGCTCTTAGGTTGCTTAGATTTCTGCATATGGAGTTCTATAGTTTGAAATTTAAATTAACTGAAAAGGACAGGGCAATTAATTCTTATGGTTAGCTCTTTTATGGCAAATTTATTCAACACGTTATCAGCTTGGTTCAGGAATAACATTTTAACTTGCCCAAGTGCATATTGGCAGTTCTTAGGCATAATTTACAAATCTTTTTATGAAATACAATTCTTTTAATAAATCTGTATATCTAAATGTGGCAACAGAGATTCTTTCATTTTTTCTGTGTGTCTGTTTTCAACAGGCAATCGAGGAACACGAGGATCTCAAGTTGATAGCCATAATACTAGTAGTAGCTACCATGACAGCTGGGAATCACGGAGCAGTTACCCTGACAGGGATCGCTATGAAAACCGTGAACATGCAAGAGATTCTTCTTTTGAAAGAAGACATGGAGAAAGGGATAAGCGTGACAATAGAGAGAGAGGTAGGTACTCTTCAGGCTTTTTTCGACTGTTAGCTTATTAATTGATTCTTTCTAAAAGGACATAGTAGTAGAATAACATTAAAGATGAACATACCTGTAAAAGCTAGGGCTCATGCATGCCACTCTTGTGTTCAAGGCAGCAAAACACAAAGTGGAACTGCGAGGAAGGAAGAAGACTGGACTGATAAAGCAACAAGGCTTTATCTTTGTAGGAAGAATGAATAGCATGAACTGTTATGGGATGAGTAGTATTGCACTTAATGTGATTATTAATGTTGCATGGCTAGTATTGGAGATGCTAGGCATTGAATTTATCAGCATCTGGAGGGCCACAAGTTATTATGATATAATGGATTTTGTATCCTGATTTTTATTGGTCTTCACAAGTAGTTTATAGTGCTAGTAGTTTGCAATGCTAGATTAAAAATGATCTGTATAAAACAAAAGCAGCCTAACTAGATATGGCACAAGCTCATGCTTTCTTTGGCTGCATCTTTTATAAGGAACTTAGTACAGGACATTTAAGGGGGATTGCCCATGGTGAGGGTGGATTTATTTGATGTTATTAAAAAAACAGATCAGATCAGATAGATTGTCAGAGTACAATACTGTATGAAGAGAAAAAAAGATTAAATCATCATTAACAGGTGTGATAGTTTTATTCGACAGACTAATTCATCATTTGGGTTTCAGATTAACAAAGGTGAAATAGTTTCAGTTACTCATGAACTAGGAGCCTTCACTGTCAGTGAATCTTGATTGCAGAAGACAACACTGACTTGATGAACTTTCATTACAAGCACTAGTTGTTCATTTAGCCCAGTATTGTCTACTGAGCAAATATCCTAAATACTAGAAATTAGATGCAGGATCTTTTTGCCCTACAGTAGAGCTGTGGTCTCTCCCCTCACCTCCTGTCTCCGTGGATTCTGAATTCTTTATAAATATGGACACTCAGTACAAAAGATATCTTTAGAATTATTTATTTCACAACTGTTGCACTGATTTGAAATTAAAGCATTAGTATGCACAAATATTGGACAATGAATTAGGTGATTAAATTAGAACTAAAACCTGTTTATCATTACAGATCAGAGGCAAAGCTCACCCATGCGACACCAGGGAAGAAATGATGATATTGATCGTGATGAAAGACTAGAAGAACGAAGAGTAGACAGGAATGAAGATAGGAGGGATGAAAGAACTAGGGAACGGGAAAGGGAAAGGGAAAGAGAGAGAGAAGCTGAACGTGATCGTGCCCGTGAGCGAGAACGTGAGAGAGAAAGAGATAAGGACAGAGAACGTGAACGGGATAGGGACCACGATCGAGAACGGGAGCGAGAGCGGGAAAGGGAGCGTGAAAGAGACCGGGAAAGAGAACGGGAACGAGAAAGGGAAAGAGAACGGGAAAGAGAGCGGGGCCGGGAAAGAGAGAAAGAAAGGGAACGACAGAGAGAGTGGGATGACAAAGAGAGAGGAAGAGAAGAACGCAGGGACAAGAGAGAAGATGTCCGTGAAGAAAGGACCACAAGAGATAGTCGTGAAGAAAGGAAAGCAAAGTGAGTTTTTTAAAAAAAAAAAGAAAAAAGATAATTATGCAGTGTGAGACAGTAAAAGGAATGAACAGGCTATAGCCAATGTTATCCAAGCAAACATTGACAGTTCATATGTCTTTCTGTAAGGTTTTTTGAAAAGAGGATTACTTAGTTTATCAATACTTATGATGACATTCAATTGAAATTTTAAAAATTGATGCGTGTAACAGTTCTGTTTGTATTTATGCTGGAAGATGGAGAAGATTCCTTAGAACTTAAGTGCCTAGAATTTAATGACTTATGTTTCTTTTTGTCAAATACAGAAAACGTCACAGAAATGAAAGTAGCCCTAGCCCTCGGAAATCACCTAAGCGCCGCCGTGAACATTCACCTGATAGTGATGCCTACAATAGTGGAGATGATCAGAGTGAGTGAAAGCATGTACAGATTAGCAGGAGTTGGCTACGTAGCCCCTGTCGATATCACAGCACCCACTGTGACTTAAGATCGTGTCCACCAGCCTTCAAAACCTGTGAGACTGAAGCCATTTCTAATTTACAAGATTTCTGTTCTCACTTGAGATTTGACAAGATTTTGACCATTTATTTATTAATTCATCCATAATTTTTGACACCTAAAACATCATGTGAAATTGTGCAGTGGCATCTGCAGCTGGGAAAGTGGCTAAACTCTTGTATATAGGATAAGTAAATTTCAGGGAGTCCTCACTTACAGATGGTAATTGGGACCGGAAATTCCTTCGCTAGGTGACATTGTATTAAGGCATGTCACGTAACTGCTGATTTATGACGGTAGCCCTGGCAGTCCCAGTTGCCATTGTTAGATGAATCCTGCATGGTTGCAGTGTCCTGCGGTCACATGATCGCCATTTGCTACCTCCCTCCAGCTTCCCCATTGACTATGCTTGTCAGCAGCTGGCAATGAAGGTCGCAAATGGCGATCACATGGCCATGGGACTGTTACAATTGGAGCTGGTTGCTAAGTGTCTGAATTGTGATCACATGACCATGGGGATGGTGCAGTAACCGCAACTACAAGGGCCAGTCATAAGTACACCTCATTCAGCATTGTCATAACTTTGAACGGTCACTGAATGAGTGGGCATTAAATGAGGACTACCTGTAGTATTTTGCCAGCTAGGGCTGAAGAAGATACAATGTAAACAAAACCTCCTGTTGTTTGCACATGGTTGTTTTCTTTGTAGAGAATGTATTTCTTAGATACAACAAATACCTTGCACTGTGCATGTCATAGTCCGGCCCATTACCAATATTCTGCCTCTTTCACATCAAGTGAATGTCTTTTTACATGGACAATGTTGTAGTAATAAAGATAGATAAAAAAACATCAGAACAGATAATACCTACGTTGGCTTAAACATGTCACAGGAACTGATTTATTGATTCTGTCATTTATAGACTGCTGTGACCTCAGTGGGGAAGCTATTCCACAACATAGTTACCATAACTGTAAACTAAACTCCTGCCCCCTTAATCTTTCAGTAGTAGAAACTTTTAACAGATTCAGGAGGATGGCGTGTATTGCACAAGTCAGTTTCGTTTAGAGACGGTGGTCCTGGAGTACCTAGAGGCTAAGCCAAATAAGGCTTTATAGGTTAAAATAAGTAATTTGAGTTGCAACTATGGACAACTAGTGCAGAGCTCACAGAACTGCTATTTCATGGCTATGCCAACTCTTGTCTGCCAGCAAGCAGTTGTAAGCATTTTGTACCAATTGCAGTTTCTGGGTGATCATCAAAGGCAGCCCCATGAGAGCAGTAGTTCAATTTTGTGGTGATAGGTTCATGAGTCACTGTTATGAAGACCTCCTGCTCCAAGTAGGGCCACAACTGGCACTCTAGTAGACATTGACAAAGCCCACCCCTCAGGCACAGCCTCTGTCTACCAATGAGTCAGGACCCCCAAATCACAGACCTCCTCCTTCAGGAGGAGTGCCACTCTGTCCAGAATTATAACCAGAGCTGGCAGAGAGATTAAAAAAAAAAAGGCAACTCTATCTTGCTTGGTTTCAGCCCCGCCTGTTTTGTGCAATCCAGGCCCTAACAGCCTATAGATCCTGGTCAATATGTCCATGGGATTTCTTTTTCTTTTTGTTTTTTCAAGTAATTTTATTAAAAATTATAATTACAGTAGTCAAAGCTAATGCAAACTAAAAGATAGAAAAATAGAAAGAGTAAAAGGTGCAAAGAAAAAAAATAGGGAAGACATAAAGAATAGAAATAAAAGTAAGAAAAGTAAAAAAATAATAAAGAAAAAGAAAAGAAATATATAGTGACTCCCAGCCTTCATCACAGCAAGTATAAACAGTTTTAGTAACTTTTCACTTCTTAAATTATAACAAATGATGTCTTCTTTGCATATCCTAC